TTACAGACATTGATAAATATCTATGGAGCAAAGATTGTATATAAGGCATTAATCTAGGTGCTTGGGATAAAGCAGGGAACCATGGAGACAAAAATGCCTGTCCTCGTGGGGATTACATTCTAGGAAAAGGAGACAGAACATAAATCAGTAAAGAAACAACATAATCAGTAAAAATATATGGTGAATAGATACTAATGGTTGGCAGGGGAGGGTTACAATTTAAATGATAAGTTATGGAAGACTTCATTGAGAGATGAAAGGGCAAATATATCTTTTGAAGAGTATTCTAGGAAGAGAAAACTTTTTTTTTAAGATCTTATTTATTTATTTGAGAGAGAGATCGTGAGGGAGGGAGGGTCAGAGGGAGAAGAAGACTCTCTGCTGAGCAGGGAGCCCCATGCAGGACTCCATCCTGGGACTCTGGGATCATGACCTGAGCCAAAGGCAGATGCTTAACCAACTGAGCTACCCAGGCGCCCCCAAAGAAAACTTTCCAAGTTAAGACTCTGACTAGTATGTTTGAGAAATATCAAGGCAGCCGGTGTGGCTGAAATTGAAAGAGCAAGGGGAAGAATAAGAGAGAGGTCAAAGAAGTATGAAGGGCAAGATGGCAGTGTGCCTTTTGGGCTGTCCTATGGGCTCTAGATTTTACTTTGACGGACAGGAGCAACACTGCCATCAACCAGAAGATTATTCAGGCTGCTATTTTGAGATGGGGCTATAGGGGACAAAAGAGCAGAAGCAGAAGAGGTCGCCAAGGTTTAGGTAACTAAGCTAAAAAATCAGAGAAGCATTTCCAAAGATAATGTACTATAAGGACTAGACATAGCTCTGATTCAGTTACCTGAATTTCTAGGTAAACCATTTCTAGGATGAGCCCTTAGAGCAAAACTGTGGAAAACTTTCTGAAAGTATTTTTAGATGGTTTATCCCATAAAATGTACTAACCCTTAAGTGTTGAGGTTTGACAGTTATAAAATTACTGAGATTTTTTGATATTCACCCTGAGAGGGCAATGATTTACATCAGAGAAACCCTTTGATTTTAATATTTTCTTCCTGGATAGTTTTGCATAATTTTATGTGATTCCCTTGATGAACCCACTAAAACTATTTTCCATCCATAGTTTTGCATAATCTGCACAATAAGGAAATCCTGAGGAAGAACTAGGAACTGGGCAATTCAGCAAGATCACAGAAACCATGTGTTGGGAGCTGCTTGTCAGCAAATGCTGCTAGAGATTCTTTAAAGATCAGGACAAATCTTGCAAATAAGGGCAAAATAACTGTCTTTGGGAAGATTTTGTATAGGCTGCATATTTCTTTGTGGGGTCATTGCTACTTCTAAAGAATCCAACTAGACTTATTATTTTGCAACACAATTTTCTGTGTGCCGGCATACTTCCTGTCTCCCTGTCCAGAGTTCCCCCCAAATATTCCTCTTCCCAACTCTTTGTTGCCCTGTTGAGGGGGCAATATAGATTATAGGGGGCTTTATGGCATCGGATGAGGGGAAGCTAGCAAAATATTCTAGTTACCTTTGCTGCACAACAAATTACCATTAACTTTAGTAGCTTAAAAAACTGTTTTATTTTGCGCATAAATTTGTGGGTCAGGAATTCTGGAAGGGATTGGGACGGTGGTTCTCATAGAACTTCTGTCATCTGAGTGCTCAGGTGGACTGTACATCAGAGGTGGCTCACTCACATGGCTGTCAGCAGATGCTGTCAGCTGGACAGTCAACCCAAGCACCTGTAAGTGGCCTCTTCATGTCGTCCGCATTTCCTCCCAATATGGCCACCTCGAGGTAATCAGATTCTTACAAGGCGGTTCAAGGCTCCAACTAGGAGTGGTCCAGCATGTAATACAGAAGCCACCACCATTTTGTTTGTTTGTTTTTTTAGCTTTGGATGCCGTGCAGTATAATTTTTAACACATTCTATGGTTATAAGTTAGTTATAAGTCCACTCAGATTCAAGAAGAAGGGACACGTACCCTACCATCTGATAAATGTCAGGGTCCAATGGCGGAGGAACACACGGCATAGGAGATGTTGTTAAGGCTGCATTTGGAAAATGAAATCTCCTACACCTGGTTAGTTGGTAAAAATAGATTGTGTGAAGTCACTGTAAAGTGTACAGCCCATGGAGAGATAAAGAAAGGAGGCAGAAACTGCAGAATGTTTTCGTTCTTGCATTCACAAGAACAAAAGGATCCAAGAAACAGACATCAAGTCTGGGTAACTTTCAACTGTCTTTATTCTGCATTCTACACTCCAGGTTCGCTTGCTATGATGATCTCATAGTAATTCATTCATCATTTCACAAACTTTTATTGAGTGCCCACAACATGTGCCAGACACTATTCTAGGCTCTTGGTGCCGATCAGTACATAAGTGTAACAAAAAGCCCACCATCAAGGAGAGTGTATTCTAATGGAGTCATGATATTAATATAAGCAATGTGAATTAAGTAAATGGCAATTGGAGGCAAGGCCTCATGTGGTCTAAAACTAGTTCCACCCTGAAGGATGTTCTGGACTGAAGTTTTGCCAGGTGACTGTGCAACAGACCAAGTGGTGGGTTCTTTGGGAAAAACATTTATAGTTAAAAGGGCTAATTTGCCCTAGGAGTTTAAGAGGGCTTCCGGATACCACTAACTTCTTGCTTCTCCCAAATCATGCTGTCTCACATCCAACTGGTGACCTCTGTTCTCCTTGTTGGCATCAAGGTCCAAAACCCCTAGGAACCCCAGTAATTCACCCCACCCTGTATACACCCACTTTGCCATCTACTTCAGAGTTGCATAAAGACACCCTGCATTTTTCACATGATTTGCCAATAGATTAAGGCAGGTAAAAATGTGTCAGTTTTAAGACCAGACCTAAAGAAGTCTTGCACAGGTTCACCTGGGCTCTTGCCCTGCTGCCACCGCCATGCAGGCTTGCTGAGGTTGGCTGGAGGGTGAGAGACAAGACATGTGAACCAGAGCCCAGCCGCACCTATTTCCCCAAGCAACAGCTAGCCCACCCCAAGACACATGAAGAGCCCAGCCAAGATCCCAGACGCATGAACAGTAAACTTCCTGTTACAGGCTACAAGATTTTGTGGTTGCCTGCTATGCAGCATTTTGGGGCAACGGGTAGGGGGTTGACACAACTGGGAAAAGGCAGAGCTCCTTCTCTTGGAGACCTGCTTACTGATCTTACTTTTTTTTTTTTCTTTTTTGAAGTCAGTGAGCACAAGTCCCTGTCATTGCTACTGGTGTTACCCTGGTGCTGGGATTCATGAAAGGAGAGTCAACATGAGCAGAGTTGCCTCTAGATGCAAGACAGAGGGGAGGTGTGGAGGAATGAAGTGGAATAAGGCTTCATTCCTGCCTGTGAAAGTGCATTTTAGGTCTCCTTGTGTGAAGGAACAAAAGTCACTCCTGTTTACCACCATTGAGGGATGAGGAAGAAAGCCAGAAGCGAAACATTCCAGTTGCTCCTTTGATATGCTTAACCCATCAAGCTCCCTGCCTAAAAGTGGCCTTAGCTTTTTTTTTTTTTTAATTGTAATTCAAAACAAACCTGTTTTGGTGGTTTGTCTAGGACGAGGGAAGCCACAGCATCCCCTGTGGCTATCAATCCCAGCAGGAATCTTGCCAAACAGAGCTCCTTTTCCAGAATGCACGGAGCAAGGATGGAGGGCCAGGCTATTTAATCTCTGCTTCCACATCATTGTGACAAGTACCACTTTTGAGGAAAAAACTGCCTCCAAACAAAACTAGCCTTTCAGGTAAGTGGAGCAGCTGCTCTCCCCACCAAGCGTCAGAAACTTTTCCACGAGTCACTTATTCTTTCGTGTCTCGCACAGCCCCTATCAAAATGCAAATACCCCTGGGAGAGATGACCTCTTTGGCCTTCACTTGTCAACACTTTGGGAATGGAAGAATTATTTTAAAACAGCTGAGCAAAAGAAAGGCAACTTGTTTGTGTAACTGTTCATTTTCTGTCTTTCTCAGTGGACGGCACGGTCCAAGAGGTGTAGGACCCTGTCTGCTTTGTTTATCCATCTATTTCCAGAGTCCAGAACACATATGAGACTCTCAATAACGCCCGAGGAAGGAAAGCAGCAGGGAAAAACAGGAGAAGGGAGGAAGTAGATAACTAAGGAACCGCAGAAAAGGGTAAAAATGCTGAATTAAAATTCTCACGCAGCATTTGCCCTTATATTCAGTTAATGACTTACTATGCATGCATGGGAGGGAGGGGTCTCTAGAGTAGGAGAAAGACAGAGCCGCCATCCTCTTACCTTAACCTGGTGTGGTTCTTTGCATTTTTACTCCCGCGTACTCCAAGAAGAACACGACAACCAAGGCCAAGAAAGTTTCCCTATGGGGCCTTCCACCAATTCCATGCTTGAAACGTGATGTACTCAAAGCCCTCAGCCTTTGGGATGGAAACATTCAGAATGAGAACTCCAAAGTGACCAAAATGAGAAAACAAGTTTCTGGAGGGCTCTCCGTTTTTTCCTAGCCAACTCCCCCACCTCCCCCCACCCTCGCCCCACTTCAGTGGCTTTTCAACCTTTAATGTGCATGTGAATCACCTGGGGATCTTGCTAAATATGCTGATTTTGATTCGATAGCTTTGGAGCGAAGTCTGAGCTGCTGCGTTTTTAACACTCTCCCAGGTGATGCTGATCGGCTGACTCGAGGACCACACTTTGAGTGTACTGTACTAAGGACTCGAGGTCTTCACCTCCAGCGTCAGGTGTGTGTGTGCCGAGCCTCAGCTTTCCGGATCGGTGTCCCGCATGTCCCCGGCCTTCCGCCGGGAAGGGAGGAGCCGGGGGCGGAGCGGGAGGAGTGGCGCGGGCCCCGCGTGGGTCCTGCCGGAGATCACCTCGGCCCCTTGGAGAGGCGGCCGAGCTGCGGCGGCGCAGGAGGGGGCGGGTTCGGCGAGGGCGCGGCCTCTCGCAAGGGGGGTGTACGACACGCGTCCCCAGCGCCCGCCTGGGCCACTCGGGAGCTTCCCGGCAGCCCGGTGCCCCACTTGGCAATCCGCTCCGTGCTTCTTCCTCGCGCCCGCCTCCTCTTGTCACCTCCCGTCTCAGCCTCCCTGCTCCATCCCCGCCGCATCAACCGCCGGCCGAGTGCCTCCGGGAGCGAGAGGTGGTGCGCGGGGCTGCAGGGCGCGCCCTCACGCGGACCCCGGCTCGGCTTTGGGGGGCACGGGCAGCAGCATGGACACCAAGCGCTGCTTCGCCAACCGCTTCGATGACTACCAGGGCAGTCTGCTGGCGGGCCAGTGCGAGGAGGCGGTGGCGCCCTTGGTCACCGCCACCATCGAGCGCATCCTTCAGGAGCTGCCCCCGCTCGGGGGCGGCGCTGAGGCCCGGGGGGCGGCGGCCGCGGCCAGCAGCTGCCAGGGCGGGCTGTACGGCGGCGTGGCCGGGGTGGCCTACATGCTCTACCACGTCTCGCAGAGCCCGCTCTTTGCCGGGGCCCGGGAGCGCTACCTGCGCTCGGCCAAGCGCCTCATAGACGCGTGCGCCCGCGCCGAGGAGTGGGGCGAGCCGGACGCCGACACCCGCGCTGCCTTCCTGCTCGGGGGAGCGGGCGTGTACGCCGTCGCCACGCTCGTGTACCACGCCCTGGGCCGGTCCGACTACGTGCAGCCGCTGGGCAAGTTCCGGGCTCTGTGCGCCGTCTGCGCGCCGGTGTCCTTCCTGGAGTGCGGCTCCGACGAGCTGTTCGTGGGCCGCGCGGGCTACCTGTGCGCCGCCCTGGTGCTCAAGCAGAAACTCGCCCAGGAGGTAAGAGGCAGCCCCGGCCGCGCGGGGGCGCTCGCCGCCTGCCCGGCCCTTTCCCCGGAGTCCCGGCTGCGGGAGCAGCGCACCCCTATCCCCCCGCCCCGTACTCCTTGTTACTCTGGCGCGGTCGTTTCCTCAGTCTCCAGAGGTTCATCTGTTTTTGTCCGTCTACCCCCCCTCTCTTTTTCAGTCTCTCAGTTGTTGGGATTCCGCGTCTTTGCGCTTTGTTCTTGTTTTACGCCGAACGTGGCATCTCCACAGATGCCTCCTTGCCCAACAGCTTCTTGGAGGCCCTTTGGGGCGGGGGGAACTCCTCGAAAATGAAAGGGATTTCCCTTCTTTTGACCCTCCTGTCGAAAAGCTGAAGCACCCGCGAATGTCAAGACTGCTGGCAAAGTATTGGAAGTTTGGGGGGCTGGTTAGGTTTTCATGGTTTCCATGGCTAACGTGGAGGTAAATGGCTTTGACGACACCCCCCCCCACCACCGCCGGTCCCCCGCGCCGCTGTCTGTAACCCAGAATTACTGCCCAGCTGCGGGTCTGATGGGCTGACTGTGGTTGCTTACTATTCAGTTAATCTCAGGGCTCTTTTAAAATGCCTAATGGGGCTGTCCTCTTTGAAACACATAAACGGAGACAGAAGTTTACCCCATTGTAATCGAATGTGCATTTTTCATTCTAAAACACGTAGTTAGGATTGTCAAGATGACAACGTACTTAACAGAGCAGGTTTTCTTAATGAATAGCTTTCCAGTGGCTCCTTGAAGTGAATTGGATTTCACAACTACATATTTTTTTTTTCTGGATTCACTTTGAATACAGCATGTGACCATTAGAGGAGAATGTGCCAGTTCCTGTGGAGTAGGGGGGGAAAAATCCTCCAAAGGATCATAGTAACTAGAACCGAGAGAGAGGCATTTTCATTCATAACCCAGTGGAGCCAAATACTGTTCTAGGGAGGAAGTGACACATTCAACATGACTTTATTTGGGTGAAAGAGGCGTTTGAAGAAAAATTAAAGGTACACAGTGTTTTTAAAGTGTAATTAACTTAGATAACTTCTAAGATAACAGAGGCAGACTGGATTTTTTTTTTTATTTATAGAAGGTGAGGTTGATACAAGTGAGAAAGAAATCAGTAAAGACTGTGCACTGTGCTAGCACGGTAGCAAAGATCTGTGTGACAACGTTGTCTTGAAATAGTTCACTCTGCTTCTGAGTCACTGTTATCTGCTAGCAGTTCCCCAAGGGCCCTTCCAGTTGTAGAAAACCTTTTAGAAGGCCACAGGGCTATTTACATATAATTTGCATTTCATTTGCATCTGCTCCTCAGACCTTGCAGTCTGGTGGTGGGCGATTTTCAAATTCGGAGCTTTTTTGGCCTGCTTTCCCTTTGTGTGCCTTGGGGTCTTCTCTCCAGAATGGGGTGGCGGAGAGTGGGAGACCCGTCAGGTCATACAGACGGACACACACCTCAAGGACTCATTGCCCCAAAACTGGTGGCCCAGGGCCAGTCTGCAACCCTGATCCAAACAGACATTTATTAAGACCTCTCTGCTGCCCTCCTGCCAAACCAAATCTGTCTTTTTATACTAATCAATTTGGGGTTCTTTGGCCCCTACTCCCAGGAGACAGAACAAGTTCTGAGGGTTGTTCAACCGCCCCCCCAACCACCACCACTACCACCACCACCAAACCCAGCTCTTAACCTGAGCAAATAAACTAGTCTCCGTGCCAGCCTCAGCTGCAGTAATCTGAGAAATTCAGGCTTGAAAAGTGCAGGGCAGGGGCTAAGCACGCCTGGCTGGAAGCCCTTCTGAGGGGAAAATATGTCTCCTGCGCCATCCCCACTCCTGCACCCTAGCCAGCATATGGCTTTGCCCTCAGTAGATGATCCATAAATGTTGATTAAATTGAGTTGCCAACTGCTGTCATTTCTCTATAAATAATCTGTTATTATGTCCTGGGTTTCTTTCCTTCCAATGTCATTTATATTCACTTTGCTTTGGCAATGCCTTCAGTTATCACCCTGGTCTGTATCCTCCCCACACTACTTGGCACAGCTTTGGCACCTAATAAATAGTTGAATGAATGAATCCCCATTTACTGGGATTAGTGCAATATACTCAGCTGGATTCTCTCAAACCATTACATGTACCTCTTAGAAACCAATCTTAGAAGCACTTCATTATGCCATTTCCCCCACTCAGCATCCTGCAGTTGCTCCCTATTACCTTCTCTCCAGGGACTTCTCATCTTTCTCAGAGCTTAGATCCTTAAAATGGCCGACAAGGCCCCACATGATTTGGCCCCCCTGCATACCTATTGCTCTTCTGCTCCCTCTGCTTCAACCACACTGGCCTTCTTGCTGTGCCAAGCATTTCTTGTCTCGGAGTATTTGTACTCGCTGTTCCCTTTGCTTGGAATACTCTTCCCCTAGCTATTTTTATAGCTAGCTCTTTGACCTTGTATAGGTCGCTGCCTCATCAGTGAAGCCTTCCTTCCCTGTTCACCCTCTATGAAACTGCAACCTTGTCCCCTGACTTGATGCCCTTTACTTGTTTCATTTTACTTGTTTATGTCTTTTCCAATTAGCAGGTAAGCTCCATACGTGTAGAGAGGTTTTATTTTATCGTTATAGTCTCATCATTAAGAGGTACCTGGGACATATTCAAGTTCTCCCCTTTTCGTTTGGGATTATTGCAAATACGGTTTATGGCTTGCTTTGCCACTCATTCTGAATGGCGACCCATTTATCAATATTTTCCTTTACGGTGGTGCTTTTGGTGTCATACTGGTAAGAATATGTCCTATTGGTCGGAATCCTTTTTTACCACCAAGGTCTCAGTAAATATGTGTTGCCCGAATAAGTGAATACCAGTTTCTTGGAAGTTTTGCCTGAGATCAAGCTTAACCTTGAGACCGGCGCTTGTTAAACTTGAACGTTCATGGGAATCACCTGCAGATCTTGTCAATAGAATATAGACCGATTCAGCAGGCCTGGCATTGGGCCTGAGAGTCTGCATTTCTAGCAAGTTCCCAGGTGATGCTGCTGGTCCAGGGACCATGCTTTGAAGGACCAAGGCGATGTAGTGCGGCACAGGATTGGGCATACCAGTCATGTCTGTTGAGCTTTGCTATAAGACACCATTCTCTGAAGCTTGATATATTTTTTATAAGGTTGTCGTTGAGAATACTGATCACTCTATCCTATCATGCTTTTATTATAAGGACCCACAAGGGGAATTTCTCTCAGTACTTAGAGTACAGAAATGGTTGTGCTCTTCCTGGAAATTGATTGAACTTTTTAATCTTTCAGAATATGTCACGTAACTGACATGTTTCTCACTTGATGATGGCTACTAGGAAGCCTGTGGCCAAAATTGCCCACATATCTGATATAAAGTGCCTTATGTAATTCCATATACTAGCATTTAATTTGGGTTAAATTTTTTTCTTCCTTAGTCTACCCTTTTTTGACTTCCTTCCATCTGATTTTATTGTTTGTATTGATAAGATTCAGAGATGAGAAAAAAACGTATGTCGATGTATGTACAGAGACCGTGACAGGAAGAGTCGCTCTAACCAGGTAATATATTTTTGTTCAATTTGGCTCTCCTGGAAATACTCAAGGGAAGTAGCTTTGATGGTTTGTTAAGCAGATATCCTTGAGCAACGGGGCACTGAAGTCCTATGAAATCACACCATAAAAACTTATAATGGGTCCATTCTGCTTTCCAGATTGGGGGAAATGTAACCGGGAAAAGTTAGAAATGGTGGAGGGATAAAGGGGAGGCCCAGGGACCACAATGAAAATAATAGCTTTACCACTGGGTGACCTTGAACAAATAATTTTATATCTCTGAGCCTCCGTTTCCTCACTTCTAAAATGGATGAATGATAACTTCCTTTTCACTTAATTCTGTCATTTATCCCTTCATTCCGTGAATGTCAGGTTTGGTTTTTTTTTTTAAAGATTTTATTTATTTATTTGACAGAGATCACAAGTAGGCAGAGAGGCAGGCAGAGAGAGAGAGGAGGAGGCAGGTTCCCTGCTGAGCAGAGAGCCCGATGTGGGGCTCGATCCCAGGACACTGGGACCATGACCTGAGCCGAAGGCAGAGGCTTTAACCCACGGAGCCACCCAGGCGCCCCGAATGTCAGGTTTTTACATGTACCAGGCCCATTGGTAGATGCCAGGAGTTAGTAGTGAGCAAAAATCAATATAATTATGTTGTGGCAAGTGCTCTGAAGGAAGTAAACAGGAAATACCTGGGGGCAGGGCAGGACAGAACAGGAGAGGGGTGGGATGCTGCTTGGCAGAGGACAGCCAGGAAGACTTCTCTGTGGAAGTGATGTCCTGGCTCATCACTGAAGCCTGAACTTGAAGCGGCTGCTTTAAGAGTAGGCATTCCAGCCAGCAGAGACCGGAAGGATGAAGCCCCCAAGGTGCAAATCTGCTTGTAGACTTCGGAGAAGTGGAAGGCTGCCCACGTGATGGGAGCAGAGTGAGCCAGGGCTAGAGGGGTGGGAGAGCCCTCAACCGACTACACAGTAGCTGTGAGCCGGCTCAAACAAGATCCTGCAGGGCCAGGTCAGTCAGGAGTTGAGGCTTGTCTCCGGTTTTAATGGTCATGTCTTCATCTTACTCACCTTTATAAAGATCACCCTGGTTTTCTGCATGGACAGTGAATTGAACAGTCACAAGGGGGACTAGTTTCACGGGGTCCAAGCCCCTTTTGTGCCAAGCATCCCTTTGTAAATCTGGTGAAGCCATCGATAACTCTTTTTTTCTTTCTTTCCTTCTTTTTTAAAAAAGATTTATTTATTTGAGAGACAGGGACACTGAGAGAGAGAGAGAAAGCACGAGCAGAGCAGAGGGAGAGGGAGCAGCAGGCCCCCGGCTGAGCGAGGACCTCGACATGGGGCTCAGTCTCAGGACTCTGGGATCATGACCTGAGCTGAAGGCAGTCACTTAACCGACTGAGCCACCCAGGCGCCTCC